TTTTGATAGATAGTGACTATTATGCCTCCTTTGTAAAGGGTATGGTAAAGAAATGTGGTGTCACCCTTTTGAAGACTGCAGGAGGCCATGTAATGTATGGTAGGATTCCTCGTGATAATAATTCATGATTAGAGGAAACTACAAATACCATAACTGTGTGTCTTACTCATGAAATAGTACCCCAGTATAATTCTTCCATAGAGGATGGTGTTGAGCCAGTGCATAAATTGTGTGAATTAGACAGCATTGGAATAAATGTAAATGAAGAAAGTCCAGACGATTCTTTTACTCTGGAACAATACCTGAGAGATGTAAAATTTGAATCTGGACAATACTGGGTACGAATTCCGTGGAGACTGAACCATCCAGAATTGCCCACTAATTACAGAATGGCATATGGACAGTTAAAGGCTCAGTTCCGCGAACTGAGTAAGACACCAGAATTGCTAACTGCCTATAATGATATAATTGCTGAGCAGTTAATTAATAAATTTATAGAAGAGGTACCTCCTGAGCAAGCCAAAATTTATGGTCACTATTTGTCACATCACAGAGTGAAGAAGGATTCTAAGACCACTCCTCTGAGAATTGTGTTTAATTGTAGTGCCAGGAGTAACAAAAACTGTACCTAGTTTAAATGACTGTTTGATGACAGGTCCTTCGTTGACGGAAAAATTAGGAGATATCTTATTAAATTTCAGAGTGAAGCATTATGCCTTTATGGCTGACATAAGTAAAGCTTTCCTAAGAGTGGGTTTACAAGAGGCTGACTGGGATTGTACCCGCTTCTTATGGCCTGAGAATCCTACTGGCCCACTTAGCCCACTGAAAACCTTTCGCTTTAGGAGCGTATTATTTGGTGCTACATCCAGTCCGTTCCTACTTCAAGCGACGATAAATGCACACCTTAAACGTACGGGAAGTCCACTGAGTAAAGTAATGAGCAAACAATTTTATGTGGACAATTTCCTGGGTGTGACGTCAACTGAAGAGGAACTGTTAATGACTTATAGAGAGGCTAATAAAATAATGGAAAGTGCAAATATGCCTCTGAGGGAATGGAATAGTAATTCGTCCAAATTAAAGGACAAAATAAGTGAAGATTACCCTGGAGATGAAGTGCCAAAATGTAGTAATGTATTGGGATTAAATTGGAATACTGAGAGAGATTTGTTAATGTTAAAACCTAATAATTACAGTATGCCCAATAAATTAACTAAGAGAGTCTTGCTTGCTGAAGTTTCCAAATGTTTTGATCCACTAGATTTAGTGTCACCCCTCACTATAAGAGGGAAATTATTAATACAGGAAGCATGGAAACTTAAATGTGCTTGGGATGAAATTCTACCTGAGGAATTCATTAACAGGTGGGATGAATTAATTGGTGATTATGAGAAAATTCCAATGATGGAGTTCCCATGCCGAGTGGCCAATCCAAATGGGAAAAATGTACTCCACATTTTTTGTGATGCTTCAAAATTGGCATATGGAGCAGTTGCTTACCTTCAATGTAATAGTGTTATTTCTCTTGTTATGTCTAAGGCTAAAGTGTCTCCAATTAAATCACGTACCTTACCTCAGTTGGAATTAACAGCCATTTATGTAGGTGTCAAATTAGCTAATTACATAAGAAATAAGTTGCAGGAGATAAATATTAGCGACACTGTAATTTGGTCTGATAATGAGGTATCCTTACAATGGATTCGCAATGGAAACAGTAAAATTGTGTACGTACAAAACAGAGTCGCTGAAATTAATCAGATGCAAGAGAAGTATAACAGTTTGGGTCAGCATATGTTAACATTTAATCATATACCTGGTGAGGAGAATCCAGCTGATTTCTTGTCTCGATTTGTAAATGCTGTATCATGGTTTAAAGGACTGAGCTGGTTGGTAAATAAAGCTAATTGGCCTGTACAAAAGGCGTATATTGCTCCTGTTGAAATTACTGTGACCACCGCTCCAATAGTTTGTCCTTCATTAGCCATTGATATAAATAGGTATTCCTCTTTACCCAAACTGATCAATGTAACTAAGTTGGTGTTTGAATTTCTAAACAAGATGAATATCTCATATAAGTTTTCACATCCTCTTGAATATTGGATAAAGAGGGTACAAGAAGAAATCTATGGAAATGAGATTAAATTGATGATGGAAAGAAAAATTTTGAAAGGTTCTATAATAGAGAAATTGGGGCTGTATTTAGAGAACAATGTAATAGGTGCAGAGGTAGGTTAAAAATGCTGAATTGGGTGATTATGCTAAAACACCCTATCTTACTGTCCAAACTCATCTATCTAACAAATTTAATTGTTCTAAATGCCCATAAAAATGTAATGCATGGTGGGGTACAAGATACCTTAAATTGTATTAGGGAAACTTTCTGGATTCCACAAGGACGACAAAGTGTAAAAAGGGTGATTAAATCTTGTGTAATATGTCACCGTGTGGATGCCAGATCCTATATGTACCCAGGTCCTCCACCACTGCCAAAGGAGCGTGTACAATTAGTGAAACCATTTGATGTAACAGGTGTAGACTATAGTGGCCCAATAATTTTAACAGGTGCTTCAGATGGTGTTCCACTGAAAGTGTATGTTTGTTTGTTCACCTGTACTGCTACTAGGGCAGTTCATTTAGAAGTGGCACAGGACTTGTCTGCAGAACAGTTTATACAGTAGTTTCGAAAATTTGCAGCTAGGAGATCCTGTCCGAGATTGATGATTTTGGATATGCTACAAATTTTGTAGCAGGTGCTCAACATTTGATAGAGTTAAATAATAGTAACGATGTTCAATCTGTGTTAACCCTGTGAGGGTGTACCTGGAAATTTATTTCTCCTAGAGCCCCTTGGCAGGGGGGGCTGTATGAAAGACTTATAGGCACAGTGAAGAGGTGTCTCCGTAAAGTACTACACCGGAAGAAAATTAATTTGGAAGAATTCCATGCAGTGTTAGTGGAGGCAGAAAATCGGATAAGTAATAGGCGTCTCTCGTACATGAGTGATACACCTGATACAGATGTATTAACACCTTCTCACCTAATATGTGGAAGGAAATTGGAAGCTGCCCCTGTCTATAGAGATAATCTGGAAGAAAGTGATGAAGATTACAATGATGCGGCAGTGTTGTGTGATAAATTTAAAATGTTAAATAAAGTAATTGATCATTGGTCTAATGTGTGGCATAAGGAATATCTTCTTAAACTACGTGAACACTTTTATGGCGCGACAGAGACAGTAAATCGACAGAACATTCAACCAGGTGACATTGTGTTGATTGATACTGAACAACATCGAACATTGTGGCCTCTGGGCAAAGTATTGACATTGTACCCAGATGCACAAGGTGTTGTCCGGAATGTCAAAGTGTTGTTTTGTGGCCAGGAAAGTTTATGCACAATTAATAAATTGATTTCCTTGGAATTAAATGGTGTTCAATCAAATGTAAATGAAAATCTGAGGGAAAGTGACATGAGTGATATGGAAGATAACGCAGACCAAGTGATGCCAGAAGATGAAATTGTAGTAAGACCTACTAGGAGAACAGCCACTCAAGCCAGAACCGGCTGGAATCGTCTCCTAAAGGAAGGAGTAATTTGAGTTGTTTAGCTATGAACTTTGGCCAGCCGCAGCGTGGAAAATAATGTATTTTCCAGAAAAAATACAGTGTATTTTTTATGTAAATTAGTGTAACATACTGTATTTAATAAAAATTTATGCCATAAAAAAGGGGAAGCCTGTGCAGACGAGACTCGCCATTGTTTTTTGAATTGGATACAAACGTTAGTGAATAATGGGAAGAATTTTTCATGCTCTAGAAGTAAAATTGGGCTGACACCTCTCAAATAGGAACCGAAATTGTTGGATGTGCATTCCTGCATAACTTGAGATATCAGGCGACTGGACAAGACAGCTCCAGGAACCTCAGATAAGTCTTATGTTGTAACTCTGGCCAGTGTTATTTTCATGGATAGACAGTGAGGTTTTCTGAGTATGATACACATTAATCTCCAGTCAAATTGGTTTGTAGGGTTTGTTTGTTTGTTTGGTGAGTGATATTAAAATATTCTCCTTCTGTCATGTAAATTGTATATATATAATCGTTTATTAATTTTAATATACAGTCCACAAATTTATATATTTACCAGAATTCCTGGTGATACATATTTCATTTATAATTAATAGGTCTAGAGCAACTTGTGGATATGACAGTTGTAGGTATCGAAGAGGGACTTTTTTGTGACCTAGGTGTCCCAAATTCCTACTTGTCTATGTAACTCTGATAAATAATAATTATCTTTGTTATTTACTGGTATGTACATTATGAGTTACATACAGATAAATGCAATTTTCCACAACATGGGATACATATGTAGTAATACATGGGATACATATACAATAATACATGGGATACATTTATAAATAATTGTCTTTATTGGTATATCACGAGAGGAATTGTAACAAACTTGTAAATTGTAAAATATATTGTAAATATTTACAACTATGTATTGTAAATACTTACAACAAAAATAAATATGATTAATATATTTGTCATGACTCAGAGCCCCTTACCAAGGGCACGACAGTACCCGCTACCAGGGGCACGACAGTACCCGCTACCAGGGGCACGACAGTACCCGCTACCAGGGGCACGGCAGTACCCGCTACCAGGGGCACGACAGTACCCGCTACAGGGCACGGCAGTACCCGCTACCAGGGGCACGGCAGTACCCGCTACCAGGGGCACGACAGTACCCGCTACCAGGGGCACGACAGTACCCGCTACCAGGGGCACGACAGGTAGGTGACAGGAGGTGAAAGTTGGGATATGTCCTTTATAAATGATAATAACTGCTTTCTCTCCTCTTCTTCCTTTCTCTCACTCTCTTTGCCGTCTTTCCCATCTCTTCTCTCCAGTCACAGAATATCAATTCCATCCTGGTGTTGATAAGATGATGTGACAGGTGTTGAGCTGACAAGGAGACAGGTGTTTAGGTACCTACTTCCTTCTGCCTGTCATGTGTGCACTACCGAGGGAGGCCACTACGTGAGGTCCTCCCACTCCGTGACCGTAAGTGTTGCCGTAGATGTAGTCCAAGCTCGGAGACGACCTGGGAGGGTCGTCACTACGTTCACGGATAGTTGCGGCGTTCTTGTGCGTGTCCTTGGTGGTGTGGCTGCGGTTCTTGGCTCTATGTTTGTTGTGGTGGTCTCTCCTGATGGTGGGGATGGTGTTGTAGGTGTAGAGTGTGCCGTCGTGGGAGGTGTAGAAAGTATATGAGTCTTCCTTGTATGGCTGCTGATGTTGCTGATGATGATGTTGCTGATGCTGCTGGTGAGATCTGTAACCATATGGAAGGTAAGCATGTTGGGGACTTATCTCCGTGCCTTCTGCAGCGGCCTCGTCAGCAGCCTCCTCTACACCATAGTCTCCATCACCGTAGTCTCTTGCCCCATAGTCTCCCTCCCCATAATCTCCCTCCCCATAGTCTCCCTCCCCATAGTCTCCCTCCCCATAGTCATCTCCCTCACCTCCGCCCCCACCTCCTCCCCCACCTCCCCCCCCGCCTCCGCCCCCACCTCCACCTCCACCTCCATCTCCACCTTCGCCCACTCCTTCTCCCTCAGGATCAACATCTCCCTCGCCCTCTTCCCCCTCTCCATCGCCGTCACCGTCGCCGCCGCCGCCGCCGCCGCCGCCGCCGCCGCCGCCACCACCACCACCACCGCCGCCTCCGCCGCCTCCACCTCCGCCGCCTCCACCGCCTCCACCTATGCCAGGAATAACTATAGGCGCTGTAGAGAAGATGTTCTCTATGCCTGAGTTGGGTAGATAGGCGTACCCTGGAGAGAGAGACACAGAATTAGTTATATCACACACAGACACCACGAGATATTTAACTCCAAACACTCACAAACACGCACACACATGTACATCCACACATACCTCACACTGTGTATACTCACAGAAGATCAACGTGTAGGCCATCTTAATGAAGGTGTTGACTCCCACAGAGAATGGATCGTAGGGAGCGATAACCAGGACACCGTCGGGCAGATTGGTTGAGTTCTGCAGCTCTGGCAACTCCTGTTTCACGATTTCTTTGTCGACGAAGCGATTGTAGTCGTACTGTACCCTGTGCCACCAGTCCTTGATGGTGTAGAAGCCAGTCAGGGAGCCTAGGATGTGCAGCAGCTGGCCTAGCGGGTTGAAACTGATGGTGGTGAGAGTAACGTGGGCATCATTGATGGTGGTGTCGTTACTAAGAGGAACATTGTCAGTGCTGAACATGGAATTTAACAAATCCTCAAACGCGGAAACTTGCTGCTCATGCATGATCTCACTGACGTTGTTGAAGTATTGGTTCCACTCTATCAGGATAAGGTTCACCTCGTTGAAGAACCGGAGCCACTGCATCCCAGTACTGTTGCCTTGGTTCTCCGGCTCCTGGTTCTCGTTCACCACATCGACGAAGCTAAAGATTTGCCCAAGTCCCCACATGACGTCCCTCAGCATCTCTCCTCCGAAGCCAGACGTCGTTGTATAGTACGTTTGTACCTGTGACTTTGACATCCCCTTCGTGACAGGCTTCACCTTCTCGCCCTCTTCATTCTTCGAAGGCTTTACTGTCTCGGCTTCTTCAACTGGGGTCGTTTTCAGAGGCTTCAGTTTTTCAGCTTTGCCAGTGTTTCCTTCCACGCCAGTAACCGTTTCAGGCTTCAGTGTCCTAGCTTCTCGGAAGCCTCTGTTAACGGGGGTTATTTTTTCAGTGTTCAGTGTTTTAGTCTTTTGATGACCTCCTTCAACGGGGGTCATCGTCTCGGCTTCCAATATCGTATCTCTTGTGTTGCCTCTTGTGTTGCCTCTTGTGTTACCTCTTGTGTTACCTCTTGTGTTGCCTCTTGTGTTGCCTTTTGTGTTGCCTCTTTCAACAGAGGTTATCGCCAGAGTCTTCACCGTCTCTGTGTTGTTTCCTTCAAGGGAGATCACCATCCCCGCCGCAGGAGGAGTGAGAGACTTAGCTGCTGCATCATCTCCTGCCACTGAGGTCTCCGGGGACGACTGAACAGACGAGGCGACGACGATAACGACGACCACTACGACCGGGGAGAAGCAGCAACGACTCCCAGAGGCCATCACTGCACCTGTCAACACAATTATTAATGTCCAGAGAACTTCTCCGAGATTGACCAAAAACTGACACCTGGCAAAGGAACTCTGACAACATTTCGCTCCATTCTGGGCCAGTGTCAAGACAATAACAGGCCAGGACAATGTCAAGACAATAACAGGCCAGGACAATGTCAAGACAATAACAGGCCAGGACAATGTCAAGACAATAACAGGCCAGGACAATGTCAAGACAATAACAGGCCAGGACAATGTCAAGACAATAACAGGCCAGGACAATGTCAAGACAATAACAGGCCAGGACAATGTCAAGACAATAACAGGCCAGGACAATGTCAAGACAAAGAGTCCAGGACAAACTGAGACGTAGACGTCAGATTTCTCTCTTAAGTGCGAGTTTTGGGAAATAATAATAATAATAATAATAATAATAATAATAATAATAATAATAATAATAATAATAATAATAATAATAATGAGTGAATAACTTCAGCCACGGTAACTTTCTATATTTCTTCCCCGGGGATCCCTACAGTCACATCGGTAATTATAAAATCCTCAATGAAAAGGAAACGGCCTAAGCAGTGGGCAGTGAGAATGCTTTCCAGACATCAGCAAGATGTGTCGTCTTTAAGACGCTAAGTAATGACTGGGAGGATCGAGATTGACTGGATTAACTTCATTTTAAGAATACTCTCTCTCTCTCTCTCTCTCTCTCTCTTCTCTCTCTCTCCTCTCTTCTCTCTCTCTCTCTCTCTCTCTCTCTCTCTCTCTCTCTCTCTCTCTCTCTCTCTTTACATACCAGTTTCTACGATTTAACTCCTACTTTACTACTACTACTACTACTACTGCCACTACTACTACTACGACCACTACTACTATGACCACTACTACTACTACTATAATTACTACTGCCAATACTACTACTACGACCACTACTGATACTGCTACTGCCACTATACTACTACTTATACTGCCCACTACTACTACTACTTCTACTGCCACTAAATACTACTACTGCCACTGCTACTACTATACTACGACCACTACTGCTACTACTACTGCCTACTACTACTAAACTGCCACTATATACTATCACACCCAAAAAGGGGAGGCAGGGTTTAAATAGGGAGAGAGAGAGAGAGAGAGGAGAGGGAAGGAGGAAGGGGAGAGAGGGGGAGAAGAGAAGGGGGTAAAAAAAGAGAGAGAGTTAGGGAATTTTCCCAGACATTCAAGCAAGAGTTTGTGATTTAGTGGCCCCAAAAGTTTACGATTCTCAAAAAGGCGGCGCCGATGGCCAAGTTCATTCCTCCCCCCAGAACATTCCCTGCGGTAAATGCAGTGGGATTCCCATTTTTTTTTAATAGAGCAGTGATGAGTGTGATGGGCAGTGATGATAGTGTGGGCAGTGATGATAGTGATGGGCAGTGTGAGTATGAGGGCATTATGGTAGTGAGGGCAGTGGATGAGGGGCGAT